AAGCACTGAAAGCTTGCTGAATTGAAAGAAGAAAATACAGTTTTCATTCGGAAAGGTTGGAAAGTGGTGAAGTGTGAAAATGGGCATGCTGAAACTCTGATTGGGCAGGTAGACACAAAAGCCTGTCTACGTTCATGACCCCATTCCCACCCACTGTTCCATGAAGAGTCCTACACAGCCTCCCCCCAAACCCACGAGGTCCTTCACTGTTAAGCTGAAGCTTCTTTAGGTACCAACCACTATGCACGTATTCACACATACTCATTCTGGCAGCTGCCCATTTTCCACCTACAGGAAAAGTCCTTCCTGAACTTTGCCTGTGCCTTGTGAAAAAGCCCCAAAAGGCAGGCAGAGTTCTGACGGTGGAGGCACTGGCAAGGTGTTGTATAGTAGCCCTGCAGCCAGGTAATTCACCCAGAGAAGGAGCATCACCGCAGGAATAATCTGGCTATAAGGATGCAGGGTTTCCTGCCTAAGTGTCCATGGAAGTGAGGCTACTCTGTGATCAGGAATGCAAGACCCACAAGGCTAAAAGGCTGGACAGAAACGGGGGATCCTAGCTCCACACTAGAAATCAGGACACCAAGCATTTAGAGGTGAACAGGGAAAGGTGTGTTTCAGTATCCACAGCTGTTTCTGGCTTGATGTTGCTTCAGGGAATGGAGCCTACAGCCTCAGTCCTGTCCATGCTCAGGTAAGGATACAGGCTCTTCTTACCCACTCTCCTTCTCCATCCCTTAACTTCTGTGTTCCTGTCTATACAACTGCCCATATTCAGTTGGGAGCTGACACTTCACTGCTCCCCTCATATCTTATCTGATTAGGCTTGTACCAAGGATCCCAATGAGACCAGCTTGTGCTCAGAACCTACACCTCAGGTCTCCCCTCTGTTGACGAGCTAGTTAATAAAGCTTATCTGCAAAAGTGGTAAAATTGTTGTTGTTGCTGCCAGCTTGTTTGACGTAAGACTCATCTCTGCTCCATTACGATCCAGAAAGAGCCACAGAGACCACCTCTGAGGGAAAATTATGCTTTTATTTCCTACTGGCTCTCAACATCCATAATGATCGATCTGACGTAACTGGGCTGTATTCCCAGAGAAGCAAGTACATTGCCTAGGACATCAGCAAAGTATACACCTCAACTAGATGGGCAAGGGCTTCTTTTTGGTTGTTCCTGGGACATGCAATTCACTCTAGTGACTATAATGAGGAATTCAAATACTTTTCCTCAGAGGTCGGACCAACCTTCAAAGCTTAACCTTAATATACAGGTAGAAGTTTCATTTCATAGTGAAGTACAAGTGCTACTCACTTAAGTATTAAAAGTTTTCTGAGAGCCTAACAGAGATGTCAGTGCCTCCAGTGTAGCACAACATAGTCCCACTCTAGCTGGGAGAGAGACTGAAAATTTCATAGTAGGTATGACTAATCTGAACTTTACTGTAAGTAGGCAGTGTCAGTGACCTCCTGATTTTGCAGTTTTTCCCATTGAAAGTCATGTTTATGCACTGAGCTGCATGAAGGAAAATATGTAGATTAGGGAATTGCTTCAAATGCTTTTGCTATCCTACATGCATTAATTTTTCATTACCTCATTTATGAAAAAAAAAAAACCAAAAATGAAAACAAACCAAAAAAACCCACAACAAAGTAGCAAAAAAGCCCAGTAAAAAAACTGAGGTAAAACTAGAATGTGAAATGAGGACATTCCAAATCCAGCAAAGAGAACATCAAGCATTTTCGGCTGGCAGTGCTTTTAATTATTACCAGTAACTTCCTATTTACTATCATCATTATTCTTTATCCTGTTCTTTAAAAAATAAACCAGATTATCTCTGCAAATATGTGGGGTTTTTTTCTGTTTGACAGATGCTAGATTCACTTTTGGCTGAAAGTAATCAAAGTTTAGACATAAGAAATATATCCTTTAAAGCCTGTACTATTCATTTAGCAATTTGGTCCTAGAGATGAATTGCAAGTACAGACCTGGGCCTTAACATTCTTACTAACTAATGGGAATGCTAACAAGTAAAGCAGTGTACTCTGCACTGCAATGCTTATTTTCATTTTGAACTGGTGACAAATGAGAAGGACTTCTTCGAATTAGTCTTACAAATGTCAGGAATACAATAGAACACTGCAAAGGTTTGTCTCTGAACAGTGGAGAGTCAAAGTGAACTAAGGTGAAAATGGTGTCCAGAAGAGCAATTCAGACCAGGAAAGCCATCCAACTCCAAAGCAGCTTGACCTGAACAAAGCCCCAGAGGCAGTACCACAGCTGCCAGCTAGACAGTAGCCAAGAAGTTAGCAGAGGTGCAAGCCAAGAAGCCAGCCATGAACTCACTTGCCAACGCAGTAAAGCTGTATTCCAGGATTTGGCATCTGGGTCCTCCAGCTGCCAAACATCTCCCATCTGGCTGAGCCAGTGGACGAGGTGTAAAAAGAAGACTGGGGGAGATGATACAAGAATATACAAGAAAGAAGTACCCTTTGTGAGACAGCAAAGATGAAGAGGCACATTGTGCCCCCAAACACGTGAAACTCAGACATTATCACTTTGTTCCCAGTGGATCAGAGGAGGACAAAAAGCTCCACTTTTTAGAGGAAATGAACAGTTAGATGTGCATGAACTGAGGCAACCGTCCCAGCCTCTGGTCATCCACAGAGGTCGGCAGATGCGGATTTGTGAAGAATCGGTTTTAAGTAAAACTTACAACTTTTAGTAGATTTGATGCACCCAATAAGAAAAAATGGGAAAAAAACCCTACAAAAAATGTTTATTCAAGACTATGTGATACACTCTGCTCCTCTGTCATCACAAAGAAATTGAAGTAGCAAAGAATGTTTCTGTATTTTCCCAACTGGAATACCATAATTTTGAGTGTAATTTTATGGAAGGATAACTTTCTTGCAATTTAGTGGAAAAAGGTAAGTTTAGTAGTACAGAGTTGAAAAATACCTTGTCCTGGGTAGGCATGAAATTTAATTCAAATGATATATATCCACTCATATAGCTGCATTTAATTGCAGCAGAATTCAGCTCTGACAAGGAGTTACTACTCACAACTCCAGCAGTGCTGTACCCCAAAAATTGGGATCAGCTGTGAGGAACTCCTAGCACTGTCAGCAGTTTCAAGTGCACCACAAGAATTCATACTTTCATATCATGCACTCATTCTAATGTTAATATCATTGATCTTATTTCCACCTTTCAACTGGCAAGTCCACATAGCCCAAATGAGGTTTGACAGATGTCTGTTAAATTTGGTTCTTTGTTTTAAAAAGACATTAAAACTCTACAGCTCTTTCCCAAATTTCTGTTTTATTACAAGCTATTTGTCCTGCCAAATATTACCTTTCAGTCTCATCTCACTCCAGTCAGAGCACACTAACTTTCAGCAGTTTAGATCTGCTGCAAGAGATGACTTCTGCCATCTTCATCTACATCTAACCATGCATGTTTTTCAGGGGCCATACCACGTAAATTCATGAGGGATTTTTAAAGCAAAATACTGACAACGTTAACAAAGAGCAAAAAATTAACAACCTAAGTTTCCTTCTTGAAAATGCTTCCGGCAGAATAGAAGACGATATGCAAAATATTATGGTTAATTTAAAGCAACCTAAAGAAGCCTGTATTAAAAATTATATCTGAAATATGCATACATTTTAGAAACACAATATTTTGACAGACTAGTAGATTCTTCAGAATAATTTCTGACATTGCACTGATAATACAATCAGATCAAAGAAAACTCTTAAGCATTTTAAAAAATAAATGTATAATTTCAATCTCATAGCCAAGGAAACCTTAAAAGATTTGTATTAGCTCTAATAAAGAAATTGCTCCTGCTGCTACTTTGAAAATGTTTGAATAATAAGATCCTGCAAATTTTTAATATAAATATAGCAGTTGTAGTGCAATTAACTGCAAATTGGAGATAGGAGTAGTCTTGAGGAATGACTTCTGTATTTGACTACTCATTAGCAATTTGAAAGTGTAATTGCTCTTAAACATGCCTTCTTCCTAATTTTATTATGAAGCTTAGCTGTACTTATAAATGTGAAGAATATGAATTATTCTGGAACATATTTGCTTATATTGAATATGTTTTTTCTTCTGTAGTCCACAGACAAAGGGCACATAGGTGACTAAGAGCACATAAAGCAGTGAGCTGATGGGTTTACACTTGTCCCATAATAAACACCACTCCAAAGGAATCTTCTGAGGAGTGCACAAAACAAAAGAAGGGAGGAGGACAGGCAAGCAAGAAAGCACACTGAGAGTGGACATTTCACTGCATACTATTTTAAAACCCATTAAAGCAACAGCCATGAATCTCACAAAAACAGGAAAGAACCCTACAAACTTTGGTACATCCTTCTGCCCTGTGACATAATTTTTACCTGGACAAGTGGGGTGAACCTGAGGGCCCTTATGGCCTCAAAACCCTCGCTGAAGCCTCCCAGCCATCCCACTCTCCCCAGCTGGATTGGCATGTAAACCCTGCACCCAGAGCAAGGCATCTACTAGGCACATTACACAGTAAGGTTTTACAATTTTGTCCTCCTTGAAATAAAAGCAAAGAGATGTTTACAAAGAGCTCTTCCTACATTTTGCAGCTCTGCTTCACGGTAACTGGCAATGACTCATTATAACATGAGCTACACTGATGCACATTAATTTCATTATTCAATATCAGTAGACTACTTTGGACACTTTAAACTATATTATTCAACATCAGACAAGGTATTCTCTATTGTCATATTTTAAACATTGGGATTTGTAGAAAAAAAAAATTAAAAATTGCAGCTTTCCCACCACCCTCTGAGCCCCAAGATTAAAAAAAGCAATTGCAAAACTCAACTTCAGATCTTGCCTAGCCCCACATATCCCCCAATTATGACATAATGAGTGAAAGAAACCTGAAAAGCACTGTGACTAGACTTAATCAATAAAACAAAATATTATATAATACACAATAAAATGCTTCATACCTGGAGTTGAAAAAACGAAAAGGGTTAACAGCTGACCTGGCACAGCCCCACATGCTCTCTCTGGAAATTGAACACAGACAATTAGGAATTTTAAGTTACCCCAAATAATAGAAGGGGACTTAGATAAGCTTGAGGAACACTTACTGCAAAGTAAGTAAGGCACAAAGCCTCAGTGTGGAAGGCACTTTAGGATTTTCCCATTCACTCAAACCTCTTGTCAAACTGAATTTGTTATGCAGATGTCCCAGCTAATGATAAGTAAGTCATTAGGACCTCTGCGATCAATTTTCATGGGAGCAAAGTCAAAGTTAAAGGCCCATATGTCACTCAGTGGTAATTCTGGATCATGATGGATCGTATTTTCTTATTAAAAAATGATCAGCAACAAAGATGATGAACAACACAAAAACACAGTGCCACAGCTGTACAAACTCCTATGCGGGTTGAGATTTGGACTATGTGAAATGTTCCTTTTCAATGACAAATTCTGATCCACTGCATGTGCTCAAACAAGAAGCATCATGCAGATGGTTTTCGGAAAAAGTTCCACCAAATTAGGGGAAAAAAAAGAAAAATCTGTAGAAAGCCAAGAATAAGAATAAGCCCCTTTAGTCCTCTCTGTGATTCAGACCTCAAATTTACAGTGAAAGTAGTCTGAGGCCAATGCCCAAGAAACTAGCAAAAATATTAGAATAACAATATGAATCACAAAAAAGCTCTAGCACACTAGTAATTGAATGCATTTGCACTGAAAATGTTTTGGATCTTTTATAATGCTCAATTAAAATGTCTAGGTCAGCATAGGAATTGTTGAAAGTGAAAAGGAAATTTTCAGAACAACTTTGCTTGATTTATATAATTGCATTTTCCACTGGCCCTTGGAAACCTACAAATAATCTATTTTCTCTCAAAATTTGGCACTGCATGCTTTGATCCTGTCGCATTTCCCCACTTCAAGTGTATAGTAAATATTGGCTTTCTTTACTGTTTTTGCCATTTGCTAGATGCGAACTTTCTGATTATGACAGAAACATGCTATGCAGATGACAAAATGATGTAAAGAATGTTTGAAATATAAGTTATTAGCTCTATCATTGCCTAACACTGTTTTTTTTCCACGCTCTTTTCCCACTCCCATGTAGTCTTTTCCTTCTCAGAAATATATATTAGGTACTTGTGCTACAGTATCAAAGAGGTACAGATTCTATTTTACAACTGTGTCAGTACCTAGTCAAAGAGCACTGTGACAAAATCTCCCTTGCCCCATCAGACCTCAATTGAAAGCAATATGCACTGGAAAAATCGTTACTGGAAACCATTAACACCAATGGTTCTCTTCTATGTCAATTAATTTGCAATCATCTCTGTGTCTTATTAGAAAATAATTTATTTGCACAGGTGATACAAACAACAATACTTTACCTAGAAGCTGTAACTCTAAATTTTGGACACTCCTTTCCGTGAAGTTCCCTTTTTAACAACTAAGCAGCAGGGCAGACCAAAATACAGTTTTTGAGGTTAAGTATTTGCATGCTGAATGTTTGACAGTGGTATATTTAGCAGACAACTAAAACTCTGTTTAGAACCTACAGTATCCAGGCACTGAAGCAAAAGACACTCAGGTATCATCCAACCAACCTCACTGACACCTAAAACTTATTATGCTCCTCTGTTCGGCATGAAAACCAAAGGGCTGTGGCCTCCCACCCAGCTTCTTCTCCAACCCAGAAACCATGGAGAGAAATACCTAACCTTTGCCTCTGGAACCTGAAGCTTATCTGTGCTATGAAAATGGTTAAAACACATCTCAGACCATGTAATCAGCATAAAAAGGATCTGTCACAGCCACTTCACAATCCAAATAGCAAGTGTAGAATAAAGAAGAGGAAAAGGACCACTCCTGGTGGAGTGGGTATCTACAAATGTAGATATCCAGCTTCCTGAGTTAGGGAGCTCTAACCACTAGGCTTTTGTACCATGCGTGGGTGGCTGCACTGCTGCTGGCTGTCACATTTTTACACAGATATGGCCAATGAGAAGAGCACAGCACGCTCTGGGTGTTACCAAAGGCAGACTAGGTAAGCTCAGACTCTGATTTCCACAACGGAAAGTTGGGAATGTGAGCTGCTCCTTTTTTTCCCAAACCACTTTAATGAACTACTACAGTTCACAAGCCCAACCTCCAAAGACAGTAGAGACAACTCACAGCCAAGTACCCACCCAGGATGTAAGTGGAGACAGCTCTAGGAAGCTGATTGCTTTGCCCCTAGATCTTCAAAGCCTTTAACTCTTCATTGACTATACTGTGGGAGTGTTAATGCCTTGAGCAGGAGCCCTGCAACACTGTGGGAGCCAATCACCTATTTCAGAACTTCACAACACCTTCACCAGACCTCCCACAAAGCAGAAAATCTGCATCTTGTCTCAAGTGCCTGTGCTGTTGTGGCTTATCTTGGCCTTGGGTACCTGCAATACTTCATGTGTGTTGCAAGCATTTGAGGATAGTGCAACCTTTATGTCGTGTGGTATATTGACAAGGATGTACTTGTTACAGAATTGCATGCACTTGTAGTTCCTCTCAAACAAAAGGAAAACCACATTCTATTATTCTGACTATGCTTTAGGAATGGCAAAGGACCTCAGAAATTATGTGGTGATACAGACAGCATGCAGTTCTAAAGTGGAAAAATTGAGTGCAAAAGGAATTAACCTGTTCAGGTTGGTAATTTTCAGCAAACAATTTATTATACAACATTACCCTATTATTGTGCTTTGGAAACTTTTATGACTGAGATTTTGGTCGTTATTATAGTTCCTCCTGTGAACTTATCTGTCAGTGTTTTGACTCTTTGGCCCTGACAAGCAACTGATTACAGAAAGAGCAGTGCTCATCGGTTCTTAAGAGAAATACCACGGTGACTTATATGTCTGTTTGACAGCACTGTGTGTCCCCGATTTATCATGCATTATACCAGCACTATGCAAAATATTGTACTTTTCATGCAAATAATTGAGGGACATATTTTGACAAGACTGGGAATGCTGACTTTTAATGAGTATGTAAACCAAGTATTTCTTTTACTGCCTGATGTCACCTTCTGGTTATTCCCAGGTTAATTTATTTTTCAGGCTCTGTTGGCAATGCTGGGCTTTTCAGCCAGCAGCAGATCCAGTATATAGGCCTTAGGGTGAGCACTTTCTAGGGCAGCCTCTGGCCTCAGTGCCTGCCAGCCTGCTCCATGCCCCCCTGAGCTAGCAACACAGGCAAGACAAGAGAGCTCTGGCTGTTGCTGCCTCCTCTAATCCACTCTGGTCTCTTCCTTATTTTCTGCCTGCCTCAGCTTCTGTATTTCCTTGTACTACTTTATCCTGTGGAAATTCAGTATATCTCACAAGGATAAACAAAGAAAAATATGACCCAGAACCTCATGCTCGACACATCTTCTGTCACTGCTCTAATGATAGAGGTGCAGAGTTTGACTCTGAAACCTGAGACTGGAATTACTTCAGGATTAGATGCTATAATATCTAATAAGCAGCCACTGTGCTGCTTTACTCCTTGTTCTAGCCTTCAATTCCTTTATTTTGATTAGAGTAATTTCATGTGTGGTGGCTGTAAGGTCCAAGTATTCTTGCTGTGATATATTAAAAATAGTAAAGCTCATACACATGGACAGTGACACCTTCTTGGCATACAGGCTCAACACAAAATAAATTCTCTTCATATCCATCATCCAAGGACTTCCATTCACTCCTCTTTTATCTCCAGCCTAAAAAGAACTTGCTATGAGAAATGAGGTTGTGGTGAAATCATTACTACTTAAAGAGGACTGAACTAATAGACAGGAAAACCTACCACAATCTTTTCCCATTATGCAGGAGAAAGGAAAATGGCAGGAAAAAAAAAAGTAGGTTAATTTTTTTTTATCCCTCTACTTTTATCTTCATTCAATTATGCCTTGCCAAACAGTGTTCCCCTTTTAACAGTTCCCTCCTTTACATGCAGTTTACATACCCATGACCTACACAACTTTTGTGGTTTTGCATGCATTGACATAAACACTCAGGACAGTATTTTCATAAATCAGTGCAAGCATTGCTATTTAGATTTAATTGTGCTGCACGTATGTCTGTCACGAAATCACAGGAACTGCCTTAAGGAAAAGGAAAGATAAAAACTTATCTAATCTATATAATGAAACAAGAAGTAATTTTGGCTCAAGTGACAGCAGATGACAATGCTCTTTCTTTTTCTTATCAGTTAAGTCAAAGTAGCAGTTCACTAAGGTAGTTTTATTGTGGCTTTTCCTGGCAGTGTTCTCCTGCCCAATCCACACCTATGAGTATTTATTTATAGCTCTACATTTCTTAAGGCACGTCTCTGCCCCTGCTTTCTGTGCTGATTTAGAAAGAAGAAACATAAAAAGCTGAATAACAAAATCACTGGGGAAAGAGATGCCAAACAGGTGTACAAACTGCTAACTGGGTAGCAGTAATTCATAATGTTATTTATAATTCATTCTTTGGTGTCATGCTCTTCAAGCAATTACAGAATGCCTGCCTCACTATCCATAAAATGCATTTAACATTTCTAACAACTAATGACTCGAGCTTCAGTCTGGAGCAATACATTTTAGTGGATTAAGCACAGGAGTGAGAGGCTGATGTACCTGATCCCAACTCATTCTCTGCTTTGCTGCATGGCCTTGAGCAAGTCACTAACCTGTGGATAATTATAACATTTGAACACACAAGGGACCTGTACAATTTAATTAGTTAATGTTTGCAAAGCACTCCAAAGATAAAAAATGCTATGTGAATGATAATCACATGCTGTTGTTTCATGGCATTTTATTCCAAAGCATGTTTGTGTAAACATCTTAAGAAATGGAAAATTCCAGTAATGGCAAAGTTTGACAACTACCTTAAAATGATCAGCACTTCTTAGACTAAAGTTTAAATTAATTAACAAATTTAACTTATGTTCAAGAAGACATTTATATGTGAATTCAATACAGACACTAAACTGAAGCTGGGAAGCCAAGATCTTAGAGAGTTTT